GTTCTTGTCTGGTTTTGCTATGTGCAGCAGAAATGTCTGCACTTGAAAAATGTGAAGTATGTGAAATAAGACAATTTGGCTTCACTTCCAATTGCAGATACGTGAGGGACAAGACTATGTGTCCCTTAAAATTGTTTACAAGTTAAAAGTGCATGAGGGGAATTTACAGAATGAATATTCATGCCTCAGAGTGACGGCAACACTCAGATATAAAAGAAATTGGATAATGACACTACATTCAACATCGGAAATTCTTCAGCCAAATTTCCATGTGCCAGCGATCCTTGTATTTGCTTGCAAATTCTTAACTTAGGTTATGACAGTTACTCCCTGAAAATTCCATTTATGAAAATGACGAATTTCTGGTGTTCTTTTTATGCCCCATCTCATTAGCAAGTACCAGCAGGATATACTTCAGATCCACTGTAGGTACAGTAGTACTGTAGGTAATTATTTTTGGTTTATGATGATACCTAGTTGTCCTAGGTGAAACCTGGGTCTTCTAACAGTAGACAGCATGCAGCCCCTTAGCAGGAGATAGCTCCCAAATAAACAACCCATAACTACAGCATGGAGACATACCTTGACTTTGCTGCAATAAGGCAACAGATGAGTTTAAAAGCTGGAAATAAAGTCTTGGTCTTCTGTTCACTAGCCTGTTCTATGTCCGTTCCTATTAGGGGCTACTTGCTAGTGCTCCCATAATAATTACAGCAATCTGAAATGAGAGATACCCTCTACTTTTTGCCATTAGGAAACAAGCACCTTTTTTAGTTCATAATATGCTCAATTACCTTTAGATTGATCCATGAATAAATTATAATCAAAACAGACTTATTCACCTTAAAGCTTTTCTGGCTTAAGGTTTCATTGTTGATTCATTATGTTGTCAGTTCTCTATTGACAAAGTAATGCTTTTTTATATCTGGACTGAGACATTTTTAGTGGAAGATACTGTTATCTTTAAATGAGTAGGATTTAGCTTTTCTGGTGAGAACAAATTCATCAGTGATGAATCCCTGGAGAAACTACTGAAACAAAAATTACAATGTTACCAGAGATTTATACAGTTCATCAGTTAAAAGCCGGCTTTTGGAAGTCTTTAGCCAGGATGGGTTGGGTTTTTTTTTTTCTTTCTTTCTTTCTTTCCCAACAGTACTCCAGCACAATATTTCAAGTTTCCAGCTTTGGGATAAAGCAGTTATAAACAATGAAATAAAGCCAGTTAATATATTTATTTTGGCTCCACTATAGATGTTATCCTCTGCAATAGAAACACATTAAATTATGGCTATATAGAGACAGATGGATACAAATAATACAGCTATAGACATCACTGATACAGATATATCAGCAGACAAGAATTATCTAATTACTCTACTTGTTGCAATCTTCTAAACGCATGCTGTGATCCACATATTCATATCAATTGTTTTTTCTAGGCAGATGTTGGTATGACAAAGATTCCCATGTACAGAGAGTTTGGTGACATTGAGCTATCTGGAAATTAAAAAAAAATCTCAACACATAGTGTAGAAAGATTTCAAAAGCAAACAAGGATTTAAACCCACCAAGTGACTGTGCTCGTGCTTTCATTGGGCATTGTGCTGTTATATCCCCCATGTGCTTTAAAAGATATCCCCTGCAATGATTAGAGGGTGACTTAATTTAAAACTCTCTTTAGATTTCCAGCTCTTTGGCAGCTATTTTAACACATTTCCACTTTTGCTATATCATGTAACTTGCTTCATTATGATATTGTGTGCCACTTCGTATGGCCTTTGATTCCAAAATGTTCGAAACTACAGCTCTGAACAATAAGCAGTCTCATCAACCTTCTGTATAACTGTGCATTACTTGTAAGGGGAACCTTCAATAATGTCCTTCCTGAGCTCCTGAGGCTACTTTTTCTTGTATTATTTATTGTTATAGAAAAGATTGCTGGTTTTCAGAGTTGTTTGATGAAATTTGATTTGGCTGCTTGTGAACTATCAGACTCCAAACACAAAACAACCAGTTCATTTGTACAGGCACACAGTCAACTTCTGTCAAGTGAATGGAAGCTCACAGGTTATCCCCAAGACTAGAATAAGACCCGGGTGCTTATTTAATTGTTTTGCATTCCATTTAATCAAATTATTGATGGAAATACAAGATTGCACAGTAAAACCTCAGGTTGGATGTTAGTTTCCTAAGTTAATCATCACTTCATTTATTCTGAAAAAGATACAGTTTATATAGTTTAACTTAACCACAGTCATGTCATTGCAAAGCATCTGATATAATATCTTTATGGCACCAATGACATAGCATACTTTTCAAAATGTCTGCTATACATTCCTACTAGCAGCTATGTGAGATGTAAAAATCTGAATACTTTGAGGCCACACCGTAGAGAAAAATTAGAAAATGAATTAATTGCCTTAGTAAAATGCTCTTCATCTATACACAAAAATGATCAAATTTTTCCACACTTTTTATCAGGTCACCTGCTTTATTTCAATGTGGTTGACATTTCAGTCTGTAGAAATTAGGAGGTTGTGCAGACATTAAGAACATACAAAAGCAAGTGCTTTATTCTGCAAAGATGTGGCTGTCTTCCCAAAGATGATCTTGTTTAGTCAGTCAAGCCATAAAAAACTGTCTCCTCTCTCTACTACATCAGGTAAAACTGCAGCAAAATTAGCTTTTCTTCCTACTCTGAAAGTTCCTGGCCGGAGAGGGAAAAGTCCAAACGTGCTTTATCATCAAGTCTCCTTCCCTTTCAAGCCTGGAGTTGTTTGCATCAGTGCATATGATATGGAGAAAATATAGCTTCTCAGTGACAGAGCTGCTACTTATTTGATAAGCCAAAGTGTATTTCTAATTCACGCAGACTAGCAGAGATACAAGAACAATTTTTCTCTCAAAATTTGTATTTCTGAGATTTTTGGTAAAAGTCTTACATCTTCTAAAATTCATCTGAAGAACTGATTCTCTTTGTGTGTGCTTTAGAACCTGTTGTATGGACTGAAATTAGGCAAATTATTCCTTTTACTCATTTTCCTATTTAAAAACTCTATTTTTGTTGTCTTATTTTGCTCTGGAATGTAAAGCTGCTATCTTACTGTTATTTGCAGTAATTTTTAAAAGGTTATTTTAAGACATCGTAGAAGTTATCCTCTTGAAGAACAGAAATCCCATATTTTTGGCATTTGCACAGAAAGAAAAGTTTGGTTACTTCTAATGATGACCCTTAAAGGTACTATACATATTTTACAGTCAGCTACCTACTTTCCTGTAGCACTTGAATATGTTTTGCAAGACCATAATAGCAGTGAAACCTTATTCATCAGTTAAGAATTTTGGAAAAATTCACATTCATGACTTAATAAGTTGATGTCTGTAGGGAAGCCCTCAAATATGACATTCAAGAACAATTCCCATAGAACAGACAAAACAATAGCCCTTTGGTAGCTGGCAAACTCAGGCTACATCTAGATTTGGGACAGATGGGGTCTGCAGCATACCTCACGATCCTGGCCTTGCGTACGTCTAGATTGAGGGTTTGCCACAGAGTACAGCTCGTTCCCAGCCTCTACAAAAGAGCTCTTCCTCTGGAAACCACCAGGAGACTCCAAGTCTCATTCTGACTTGAAATTAAAATGTGTTGAGGGCACAGACCACATCTCAGAAGCTGGGAAGCGTTTCAAGGACCTCAGCCTTTGACTATATGCTCAGAGTGCCAAAAGCCAATCAGCCAAAAAAGCTATTATTTGTCATAATAAGAAGCCTGAAGTCCCAAGGTTTTGTATGATGACGGACAGCTCATTGAGGCTCATTTTTCTCCTAAGGATTATCAGAAGAGCAGGGTAAGCTCTTCTGGATTAACTTTATTTAAAAAAAATAATAATAATTTTTTAAATAATTCTGCTTTTAAAATTCACATTGAAATTCCCTCTTTAAAAAATTGATAATCACAGCAGTATTCTGTCTTGTTGGATATGCTCTTTGAGGTTGTGTTGTTAGCGTGAACTAATGCTTGCAGCTACTGAGGCTATGTATCCCCTGTTACTACCTGGTAATTTCTACAAGTACTGGAGTAGCTTCTGAACAAGGTTTAGATAGGTGGATAAAAAACTTTCGCTTCAAAAGGAACTAGTTGCAGGGGAGAAGGGGCATGATCTGCTGTATCCAGCACAAATTCATGTTTTCAACTCTTTGTCATTCACCTACTCTGAGATCGTGGCATGCTACAGTTTTCCATAAGGGACCTTCTTTTTTTTTCAGGAAGTTGAGTAGCAGGTTTATGAAATCTGAACCAGCACTTTCAGTGTTCTTGGCTGAGACATGAGCCTTGTATTTTGGTGAAATCTTCCTCCAGTGTTTGCTTAACCAGGCCCAAAGATTCAATGTTCCAGAAAAATCTGTAACTGGGACTTGAACGTGAATTGTGACTAATATTAGAGTGCATTTCTGTTCATTTGGCATTTGTTAGCCTTACTTTGGCAGGCCACGACAACTTCCTGCCATCATCACAAAATACATGTTTGTATGCTTTAAAAATACCTAGCCATATCAAAATATCCCTAAAAGTATTCTCAAACAGTGGTGTAGCCCTTCCAAGTAACCTGATAGTTTTATGACACCTTTCCACATATCATTAGGAATGAAGTTACACATTTGAATTACTTAACATGATACATATTTATATATGAGCAAGTATGCACTGGAGAAATTGAAGACTTGGATGCTGACCTGCAATTCAGCTATTTTCCTGCTATAGTATATTAGTATTTTAATATTCAATATCTATTTTCAAGTCAGATCCTGAAGTTCCTATTTGATTTTTTTCTTCACTTCTCACTCTGGTCCAGTCCCACTGATAGCAATTTCAGCTTCCTGTGTAAGAAACAGGTCACATTCAGCAAGGATTTAGGATCCTGTCCTTAGGATCTGACTCATTCTCTTTCCTCTGCCTGCTCATTAAGCATAATCATGTTTCCTGATTTTTATTTCAGAAACTACCTAGTTTTGGGCCTTACCTGGAACAACGCAAAAAGATAATAGCTGAGAACAAGATTAAACTGAAGAAAGAGAGCGCAGCTGCTTTGCTCCCCAGGAAAAAGCATTTCATTCCAAAGAAGCCTATTCCAGCAATCAAGGTAACTAAAATATATGCTTATGTGTCAGTGATCAGCCATCAGGCACTTGACATGCACAGTCATTTCTAGCAGTTTGAATTGGTTATTACTGCTTTTAAGCTTGTTAGAGGGCATCAAAGACAACTATTTATGCAGACTTCCTAGCTTTTAACCAAAATCGATGGGAAATGATTTGCAATGTACATGTATAGGTATTTCATTAATGTAATTTTCAAAATCAAGATGTTCAGGCAGTGGAATGGTAATTGTAGAATGGGAGCCTGAGTAATGCCTTAGAGAATGAAGTAAAACTATTAGTAATTTCCTTTAATTTGAATGCAACAATATGAGCTCAGTTCTGCATGTTACCTTTTGCTAATTTGTGATGTGCTAAATACCTCCCTCTCTCATGCAGGATCAATGGAAAAAGGCTAGTGTTCAGTACATATGCAGACTGAGTCCGAGGTTTTCAAACTCAACTTTTAAAGCTGGAAAATGTTTGCTTAAGTAACTGATCCACCATCCACAAAGAGTAAATGTCAAGGCGAAAATAAAACCTATGACCCCATCATGGTTAGGTAACTTTCACCGTTTGATCGGCCCTGTATGAATTCTTGCAAAAATAAGGCCAAATAAAATACAACATGATCAGTGGCTCAAAATAACACATATAATTCCAAAGGGAATATTGCAGAATATACTAGCATACGCAGCAGTGCAAGCTGGTTGATACAATGCAGAACAGATCAAGGACAATTTTTGAGTCATCATCTTGTTTAAGTTGAAGAGTTTGCCACTTCTGTAGACGTCCCTCACTTTTTTGGCCTGATTATTTTGGTTTATGCTATGCTATTGCAAATAGCTTCCCTCCTTTTGTGCTGAGGTTCCCTTCTTTATGTATATGAAAGGATCCAAAGAACAGCAGTATACTTTTTCTCTTTGACAATGATGAACATTTTCAAAGACTGCTTGACCTCGGAGGTTTTATGGTTCTATTCTCTTTGCAGGGAGAGTATTGATGTTGGGGATAAGAGAAAGGAAAAGCAACAGCCAATAACTGCATTTTCAATGAGATAGCTTGCTTCTAAAAACAACAGAAAAACAAAAAACTAATACCATCCAAAAGCAAATAAACAGAATGAAGGGAAAAGTTTAGCAAGCGGGAAAGACAGACATAAAGACTTGAAAAAACATAAATAAAAAGTTGAGGTCAATAATTTATCAGGCCCACTGCAAGTACAAAAGCAAAAAAGAACCAAATAGTAGGAGATTGATTAAAAAGAAGAAAAGAGGCCCTACTTCAAGGAAAATAAAATGAACTCCCCAAAACAAAAACTTTTGTTTATGAAAACATTGACTACTTTTATGTGGTATCTGTGAGGAGCTTCTCAGAGGAGTCAGGTTAGCCTTAATTTAAACAAGCCTGAAAAGACTGAAGCAATTAGGAGACGATAGGAGTCGCCAAAGTGGATTCCTGAGTCTTTCAGCTTGACCACCTCTTTAGAAGGGAATGTTTTAACTGTAATGAGAAAAACAGCAGTGAGAGAGGCCCACTAAGGAACAGCAGTATACTTGGATTTTTCTTGAAGTTAGGGAACTTGTCACTGCAAAAGGAGGTGTTAACAAAGTTTATTGTTAATAGATCCGTCCATAAGATTTTGTGGAGAAAATCTGCCAGGAACATTCAGAATATTCATTACAGAAGCTGAGTGAAGCTTAATGAAAAAAGGTGGCTCTGATACCCTTCCCTGACCAGAAATTCACCACAGGGGGAATTGAATGAGCTCAGATTTGAGTGTTTTTATCTGTAACTGTCTAAGAACGTTCTCACTTAGAATGGTCAGCTCCCGTGTCATCTCCAGACAGTGCTGGATGAGCCTACAGGCAGAGGAGAGAACGTGCATTGTTAGTGCAGACTGGATGTCCCTGGGGTGGGACAGGTCCGCCTGTGCCATACGAGAAGCGCAGCAATGGCTGCCCAGCAGCGGGGGGGGGGAAGCCGTGGTGCTGCGCTGTGCAGAGGCTGTTGCACCATGTGAATCCCCACGTGAGAGGGCTGCAACCCAGCACCCAGCACGAGGGCCCAGCGGGTGCCCTCCGCTGGTTGTTCTTCACTGCGGCGTGTACCACAACTGTGCTTGCAGGCAAGGATGCAAAGAAGCAGAGTCTGAATCCTGAGATTTTTCCCTTCTTTCTGAGAAATGCTTTTAAATTATTTATGTTTTACATTTAAATTTAAATGTTTTATCGAATTTGTGTGTGTGTGTGTGTGCGAGCGCGCGCGCACACGCATTGTATGACTGTTAACCTCAAGCTTGCAAAGGCAAACTTGTGGGCTACCTCTCTCTTTCTGCAAAATGTGAGGATGGCTGCATAGCTCTTGCTGATTGTGAAAGCCTGATTTTTAAATGGGTTAAGCCTCTAAATCCGTTCAACTCTTACAGCTATTCCCAGCCTACCTCCAGTTTTCTGGGACAATGGAGAGGTACTCTAAAAAGCTGGAAAGGACCTAAGAGCTGGATGTCTTTAAAATAGTAATGACCCTTGATATGGCTGGTTGTATTTTTGAAGACTTGCTGCAAATTTCCTGATGCCTGCCTAGAACTCCTCATCTGTCTGATCTGCTGTTGGGTTGGTGATATGTAAATTCCAACATTTGTTTAACTTCTGCCTGCTGCCAAAATGCCTTTTTTATAGACTTAAAAACCCTCTGTGATTATCCAAAATCTAATTTATTTTTTGGATGGCTTTTCCCATGGCTTTTCTCTTTATTTTCTCTATTTTTCAATATTAATTGAAAGTGCATACTTTGATATTCAGCAGATTTGTTTCTTTCTGCACTTTTCTATAATATCAGAATTCATGCAGTGCTCAGATATATGCCCTGGATCTTTTCTTTTTAGTTGCACTTCTGTACAGTTCCTATACGTGTCTTTGCCTACCTCAGGTTACTTCCTTATTACTTTAATTTTAACCCTATATCTTTTCTGTGTTTTTTTCCTAATAATTTAGTTCTTTGTCCTTGAGGACCTATACCATAGTATTTGATCACCATTTATCTGCTTGTTTTATTTGTCCCTTTTTTTTCTCCGCAAGTTTTGCTGTATAGGTTGCCCTGTTCAGTAAGTTTAAACTACTTTAAACTTTCTGACCTAGCTTTGTTTGTCAGCTGAGCTAGGACATGATAATGTTGTCCCATCTATTGGAAAAATATCTGTAGTGTCCCTCAAGCTTACATTCCTCCTGTTTGAACTGTTTTTAACTCATATGTGTAACAATATCTCTACATGGTTTTTTGCACATATACGCAAGTCTGTTATTATGATGCTGGAAGCATCTGGCTGGAGGCCATCTAGTCATATTTACTCCAGTGCTGTGCATAATCTATAAAACTCTCCCGAGAGGTGAGGGTTTTATACATTTATACATTGGCCTAGGCACAGCACTATTCTGCTGTAACAGTCTACCATTTGGATCATTCTTGGCCTGCATCCAGGTGGTTCAGCACGTGAGTAGATTTAGGTTGTGCTTGCCTGCCTGCAAAAGATGATGCAGTTGTAATCGTCATCATGAACTTGGAACCGTTGCATATTTCAGGTGGAACTGTGTGTCTGGGATTTCTTTTTTTCCTCTAGAGTAACTCTACAGCCATGATTTATGGGACTCTGAGTCTGCTTCTCCAGGTATTGACTCCAACATGAATCACAGCAGTAGCCTATATGCAGTAGCCTGTAATGATCCCTTCCCTAGCACAGTACCTCAGAACGTATTCTCATTAGATATGACAGTTTAAGTAAGTTTGAACTAATCTTCAGATGTGCAGAGACATCCTAGAGTCAACCTTATTTTCCCTTCCCACTTCTGATTGCCAAAAGACAGCTTAAACGGATTGTGTAATGACTGGTATTGAGCTAGTAGCGCAAAATAGAGGAAGGGCACTATGCTACTGTATGTAAAACTGGAATGACTCTTTATTCTAGCTCACGGTTGATTAATACAACAGCAGAGTTACAGTAATTATGGTACTACTTTCTATCTTAACATCTTGCTAGTTTGTCTTTTTTAATCACGATGGCACTTTAAGCAGAAGTTTTCACGAGCTATCCGTGGTGCAGCTTAATTTATTTTCTCTTCTAGTTTTATGCATACATTGACAAGAACATATACATTGACAAAAACGATAAAAATTAATTATTTTGATATACTGAATGTTGCTTTGTCGAACTGCGTTTTTTTTTCACTGTTAGAGTATCTATTCATGTAGTTTTATAAAGTACCTATGAAGTTCTCCAGAATTTTCTTTAATTTTTTTTAAACTAAGGTCAAAGTCGACTTTAAAGTCCTCCAGTTCAAACCTTTTCCTGAAACACAGGCAAGCATATCAAATAACATCATATATAAACCAGAAAATTGAGGCACTTTACTCTGTTAATATTTTACCTTTTCTGAACAGTGATCATTATATTGCAGCTGTTTATTTCTTTTTATTTCTGTTTAGCCAACTTGTTCAGCCAACTTCCAAATCCCAGTCCCTTCATGGCTACTTAATTTCTTGTGAAAGCCTGTGTTAGAGGCTCATTGAAATGTAAAATTTACCAATTGGTTCTTTTGTATTTATTACTGTACAGTGTATATAAAGAATTGTAATAGATCCAAGAAGCACAGTTTTCCTTTGCAGAAGCCATATTGAGTTATGTAGTAAAGGTTCATTTCAGTTATTTTCTAAGTCTATCTTTAATTAGTACTGCAACTGTTTTATTGATTTACTGAAATAAGGCTTAGAGGTCTCTAAATCTCAGAGTGCATTTAGTAACTTTTTTAACAACTGGAAAAGTCCTTGTAATCTTTCAATATAATTTTAGTTTTAATGAGATTATATATTTTTGTTAGCCACTTTACATTAAATTCACCTTGGCCACGTACTCTCCTATCCTGGTGGCTTTTTCTTCTTAATCTGTTTTTTCCCAACATTTCTTCTTTTGTTGTCCCTGTCTTTGATAGTACCTCACCTCTATTTCCAA